TCTGTTCCTCAGGCTGGGACAGGAGATCACACACTGTATTATTGTTATTGAGAGACAGGCTCACTGTCTGTTCCTCAGGCTGGGACAGGAGATCATATACTAGGCTGCAGCTCTGTTGAGTTTCCTCTCCCGGTAGGTTTGGGAGCTGTTGGGATTCTGGGAGGTGTGGGAATTCTGGAATGGGAGTTGTTAATTTGGGGAATGTTGGTCTAATCCCTGAATGTTTGTCCCTCTCTCACTCTCAGTCAGAGGAGGCTGCTGCTGACGGGCACGCCCCTGCAGAACAGCCTGATGGAGCTGTGGTCCCTGATGCACTTCCTGATGCCCCACGTCTTCCAGTCGCACCGCGAGTTCCGCGAGTGGTTCTCCAACCCGCTGACTGGCATGATCGAGGGCAGCCAGGAGTACAACGAGGGGCTGGTCAAGAGGCTGCACAAGGTACTGCCCCCGCCCTGGCCGACGCAGTGTGCCCCCCCCCTGTGCTCGAGCCTCGCCTCACGCTCTCCCCTCTCTCCGCGCAGGTGCTGCGGCCCTTCCTCCTGCGCCGGATCAAGGCCGACGTGGAGAAGCAGATGCCCAAGAAGTACGAGCACGTGGTGCGCTGCCGGCTGTCCAAGCGCCAGCGCTTCCTGTACGATGACTTCATGGCGCAGGCCTCGTGAGTACCCGCCACGTCCTTCGGGGTGGGGAGGGGAGGGTCACTGGGTTGCGGTAGCTGAGTTGGTCATCTCTCGCTCTCTCCCCTCCCCTCCTCCCTCTGTCCAGCACCCGGGAGACGTTGGCCAGCGGTCACTTCATGAGCGTCATCAACATCCTCATGCAGCTGCGGAAGGTGTGCAACCACCCCAACCTGTTTGACCCGCGGCCGATCCACTCGCCCTTCATCACACCCCGCATCCTGTACACCACCGCCTCGCTCGCCCTGCGCGGGCTGGACACGCACCCCTTTCAGGTGAGTCGCACCCTGATGAAGGACCACAGCCTGGACACGGATACTGGGCACAAGCTGACCTGGCTACCCATGGAGAGCAGGCTCAATGACATAGCCTAGACATAGGAACTGGACACAGGCAGTTGCTGACCCTCAGGCCTCTCTTTCTCCCCTGTGGCGCTGTGATCTGTGTTAATGTGACGTCACTGTGGCCCGTGTCTGTGCTGACCCTCAAGCCTCTTTCTCTCCCCTGCAGCGCTGTGACCTCTGTGTTAATGTGACGTCACTGTGGCCCGTGTGTCTGTGCTGACCCTCGGGCCTCTCTCTCTC